CTTTAAGTTTTTCATCAGCTGAATGTTCTTCAGAAGAGGTTACAAATGATGTATTATGTTCTTTTTTCTTCTTTTCCTTCTTATTTTCAAATAAGACGGTTGAGAGTTCTGATTTGTCACTTCTTTTCTTGTGTTTATCAAAGTCATAGTTTTTTTTCTTGAATTTTTTAGATGGAGTAATCTCCTCACCTTCCAAACCAAAATCGAGTTCTTTCTTTTTCTCATCACTACTTAGAATTTCCTGTTTAATCTCTAAAGGCTCATCATACACTTTTTCCTTTTTCTTCTTACCTGTAAGTTTTTCATCAGCTGAATGTTTTTCAGAAGAGGTTACAATTGATGTATTATGTTCATTTTTCTTCTTTTCCTTCTTCTTATTTTCAAATAAGTCGGTTGAGAGTTCTGATTTGTCACTACTTTTCTCGTGTTGATGAAAAGTATGGTTTTTCTTCTTGAATTTTTTAGATGAAATAGTGTCATCTACAAAACCAAAATCGAGTTCTTCTTTCTTCTTCTTCTTCTTTTTCTCACCACTACTTAAAATTTCCTGTTTAACATTCTTATTGTTATAAACAAAATCGACGCTTTTGTTAAAATTATATTCCATCGTGGTCTTGAAAAAATTTTCAGAAAATTATCTTCTTCTTCTAATACTCAACAGTGTTATTTAGGCATTGGCCAACACCCCTATATCACCAACGATTAGCAAATTAAATCAAAACGTGGTCGTTACTTTTTTAGGTTACATTAAAAGTTAAATTTTTGACAGCTTCGTGAAGATAGCTACTTGAAATTAAGTAAAAAATTACAGCGCACCAGTTCAGTTTAGAAAAGTATTTAACCAAGCGGTTTTTTTTAACTATTTACTTTTACAAAGTTATAAATGATAAAAATTTAAGTGCAATAAAATATATAATTGTGTTTTGAAAATAAGATTTTGTTTTGCTTTTAAGTTTTGCAATTTATTTGGTAAAATGGCAACTTTGATGAAATTTTTTTGATAGAAATTCTATAAAATGTAAGTAGTTGTAATTATTATTAGATAATAATAACTTTTGTAAACAAAGGTTTTATTGTGGTCTGTTATTTCAAAAACTAATTGTTTAAACAAGAAACGTTTAATTTTATACTTATAACTAAAGCTGCACTGGTCAGCTAGCAAGTATACTCCTTCACAAAAGTTAAAAAAGTTTGCAATAATTACAATAAATAATTAAATTAATAAATTTTTAAGACAAAATAGTAATTAATTAAAAGTGAGATAAAGGCAGATATCTTTTTACTTCTTTGTTTTTGCTGGATTTCACAATGCTTAGAAAAATAAAATGAGTTTTTAGTAAAAATAATGCGACTTTTTTAACTTTTGTGGAGCAGTTTAGTTATTTGCTTTCTTCAGTGAGCTAGGAACAAATGAGTGTTTGAAGAACCTTCTGCAATGAGTGTTTTATACTACATATTTTTCCATTTTGCCGCTTTATATCATTTTATAAATTAAAAGAGAAAAATTTTAAATCTAGGAATTTTGCGACGGTTGGTGACATTTATTTTATTTATTTATGTGGAATAATTTATGTGGCGGCTGTGGAAAATAAAAATAATTCTTATTTTCACATTTGAAAATAAATAGTGAAGAAAGTCCGTCACTAAAATTAAATTTGTAGCTGAATGTACACTTGCTTTCAAAACTTTCGCGTACACCTATTTTTCGGTGTATTAAATGCGGATTGTAATTAACGTCGTCTGCGTTGATTGACAGTATTTACTGTCAATCAACGCAGACGACGGTAATTAATCAGCTCTGACATTTAAGTATGAAAAGTCAAAATGCCTCGACTGACAGAAAAAGAAAAAGTTTTCATCCTTCCCAAATTAGACGATGGGTGCACTATGTATTAGAAGGGTTGCTACTCATTATGGGCCAGATAAAACCAATCTTCTACGAGAAAAGAAACACTGGACCCTCACTAAAAGGCCGTCTTCGGGAAGACTCAAAATTTCAAACGTGGAGAAAGATGTACCCTTTTTGGATAATTTAAGGGAAAACTGTTTCAATATGACTAGATAAAACCTTTTTTAATGTTTGTATTTATATTTTTGTTTTGTTTTAATTAATAAATTTCTGTTACATTCAAACACTAATTACTGCCGAATTATTTGTTTTGTAAAGATTTTTGGTTTATATCTGCAATTATTATGTATAAACTAACATAATAAAACAGGAATTTGGGTCCAGGATGAGGGATCGATCACATTTTTTTTAAATGCTGTCAATGTCATCTTTAACCTAATTTCAATATTACCCATTCACTCAGCTAAAATTTTGCAAAATTTTTGTTACTTGATTTTGAATGTGTACGCGAAAGTTTTGAAAGCATGTGTATGTTATTTTGAAATTTGCGTGTCAAGTGTCAACCAGAGTAGAAACAAGAGAGTAGAAAGATGGCGAATAAAGAAGTAGAAGCTTGGCGTGCTTGTCATTTCATTAATTTGTGTTTTATTTAAATCGGCCCACCCTCGACTACAACTTAAGGTTTGGCGTCAACCGAAGAATTTGATCAGAAGAGTATTTTTCTGGATTTGATAAGTTGTGAACAAAAACCACGTGTAAAGGTGAAAAGAATGACGAGGGCCGCGACGAAGCAGCGGGAGAAGGTGCTTCCTTAAGGGTCGAAGATATAATACTGTAAGAACAGTTTGCTGGAACTGAAGGAGTAGATTTGATGTTATGGTTCAATCGCATTACGACTTTTAAGAGGAATTATGGTCTGAATGACAACGAATTACTGTTGGCTGCGATTAACAAACTCTCAGGATTTGCAAAGAAATGGTTCGACTCGAGACCTGAGCATTTGGATTTAAGCTTTATCGAATTAAAGGCCAAGATGATTTCGACTTTTGGGAACAGAGAAAACCGGTTATGTTATATGAACAGATCTGAAACCCGGAAGTGGAGAAGAAATGAGAAATTCTTGGAATATTATGAGGACAAGCTTTTGTTAGGTAATCAGCTGCAGTTGTGTGAGCCAGAAATTTTGAAATATATGATCGATGGTTTGGATAATTGCATTCTTCAAACACAGGTAAAAATGTCAAGATTTACTTCCTTGTCAGAGTTTATGAAAGTGATGAATGAAATTTCGGGTACTGAGAGGCAAGCGGGTGCAAATTTGGGGGGCAGCACTCAAGTTCTTCCCAAGTCAGACGATGGCATCGACGTCAGCAGGAGGCGTCAGTGGCAGCAGTGACAGGGTGATGTGGGGGTCACAAGTACGTTGTTTCAACGGCAATATTGCAGGGCACAGAGCTAGTGAATGCCGTAAGCCAAGAAGAGCACCTGGAACATGCTTTGAGTGTGGACGAGGAGATCACAGAGTACGAGACTGTTCTGTTGCAGCAGGAAGGAAGCACACCACCGTCCAGGCTCAAGCAGATTTCACCACCAACGTTATTGAATCATCGACGGCAGCACCCTTAGAATTTCGGTAGACCTTACGACTAAAGACGAGTATGATACTATTTGTAATTACCATTTAAACTGTCTTGTTGATACGGGAAGCTCTATTAGTTTGATCAAGTCTCGTTATATAGCAAATATTAATTATGACCCGGACTCATAACAATGAAGAATTTTCTGGTATTAACGGATCTACATTGACTATCCTTGGCATATTTAACACTGTAAATTCTGTTAATGACTCTGTAAAATTTTACGTAGTACCTGACAATACTATGACCTTCAGCGCTATACTTGGTAGAGACTTTATTTCTTGTCAAAATTGAAAAGTTTCATTCCCTAAAACAGTTCAGGTCGATTACGTTCAGAGTTCTGAACCATTAGATTCAAACGAAATACTTCACATCAATATTGACGATGATTTAGACGATGCTAAAATTGATTTGAATGTCAATCCCTATTTGCCTTTACATGTTAAACTGATATATTCATGAAGTGTTCTCGGATTTAATTAATAGTCATAAAATTCTTGTATATCTTGACGATATAATGATTGCAACCGAGGATTTGGCTCAACACCTTTCGATTCTCCGTGAAGTTTTTAATATTGCTGCTAGACACAAATTGGAATTTCGGTTAGATAAATGCACGTTCTTAAACTCTGAAACTGTTTACTTGGGTTATTTAGTAAACGAAAAAGGTATCCAGCCGAATCCTGAAAACGTAGAGTGTGTTAAAAATTTTCCCGTTCCCACCTGTACGAAGGACATTCAAAGATTCTTGGGTCTAGCGAATTACTTTAGACGTTTCATTCCATCTTTTTCTATAAAAGCAAGAGTGTTGTATGACTTGATTAGAAAAAATGCTGCGTTTAAATTTGGTGATGATGAGCTTATGGCTTTCGAAACTTTGAAGGATTTTCTAGTTGATGCACCTCTTCTCACTATTTAGTATTCTCCTTTGCTGGAAACAGATGTTCACTGCGACGCTAGTTCGAAAGATTTTGGTGCGATACTTTTACAGAAACAGGATGATGGTAAGTTTAGGCCTGTTCGTTACTTGAGTAAGCGCACTACCGAGTCTGAATCCAGTTGAGAAATTTCATGTGTACTTGCACGGGTTGAGTTTTAAGGTGGTAACTGATAGTGACGCAGTTAAAATGGCTTTGAATAAAATAATATCAACCCTGGTATCAGTTGTTCTCGAAAAGCATGATTACACGATTGAACATCGTGCCGGTAAACGAATGCAGCACGTTGACGTGCTGAGCACTCCCGTGATGTGAGCAGAATCTTACTATAGCACAAAATTTAGATCCAGTTATAAAAGCTTTGAAGTCAGAATTGGAAGTGAGAGAGAATAAAAAATTTGAGCTCAGAAACGGTTTAGTATACCGCAAAGTTAATGATAAACTCCTCTTTTATGTTCCAATTCTGATGAAACAGAATATCCTGTCCATTTACGATCTTTTATGAGCATTGAAAAAATGTGAATTTACACAATAAAATTATCAAAGGTTGTTTGTGAATCGTTTTCGTAGAGACGGTTACTAGTTTACGTTGTTAAACACATTTTATAAACATAGCCCATGCGAAATTTAAATGATGTTTTTTGTCAGCTCTATAACGAGCTTACGGTTAGTTATACAACAAAAATGCAAAGAACCATTTTTGTAGAAAATTTTGTAAGCTTTAATTTTGATAAGAAGGTAAAAACCGATAGAAGTGATAGTTTCCGAGATATAAGCAAAAACCCAAAAAAAGACACTTTTAGCCCCCTCCCCTTCCTCGAGCTCGGCCTCTATCCTCGGGGACGTTTGATATATGTCTACCCAAGTGTAAAGAAAGCGTTTAAAAAAAATTCCAACTAGGATTTTTTTCCACCGATTGCCCTATTTTTGTCTAAGTTGACTGGGCTAAAAGGTTGGATTGAATTTTCATTTTTCATAATCGCTTATTTTCTAAAGTGTGATATTTTTTGCTGCGTGGTGTCCCCTCTCCAAAACCAATTGCTATTTTGCGCGAGAGAGATGGTTAATGAATTTTCAGACGGGTTAAGATGAGCGTTGGAGCTATCACGTAAGATATGTACCTACTAGTCTATTTCAGCACCCGAATCGGTGTTGAAATGGCTCATTAAAACATCGGTTTTGGTATCAAAATAAGCTTTCTTTCAGACGCAAAATAGAAATAATCACTTTTTAACATTGCATTTATTGGTTCCATTTATTAACAAAACGTTTAAGAACACATTTTTAAACATAAATAAACTATGAACATAAACACAACTTAACCCGACACACCAAACTTTTATTTCTATCACGACGTGTTTCAACCACAAAGTGGTCATCCTCAGGTGGGTTTTATTCTTACATGATTTTATCTGAAAATTGAGTATTCTATCACCTGTCTAAATTTGTAACAATAAAAGCGGGACACTCTGTACCTATAGGTGTTCCGAATTTTGAAATCAAAGATTTTAGGGTGGTCTTTGAGGGAATTCTAACATTGACAATGGTTTATAAAAAAATTACTACAGAGGCATATTGCCGTGTTTTTTGGGAGGGTTAAGTAATTTTTTTGTTTCATGCACTTCCAAGTCTCTGCAAAGTCGCCATCTAGTTGTCCGTGGCTCAATAATGTCATCGATAAAGCCTGAAAAATATCAGTTTACAGACAACATAAGCATAAGTAGGATGAAAGTTGAGCAGTAGATATGTAATAAATTTGTAGATTTGTACAGTCGAAGAAAAAATGTTCAATCTGCTTTTAGAGCGGTCTGATTTAGACCACTGATTTTTTTCAAACCTATAAAAAAATGGCAACATCGCCTTTAAACTATTTATTTTTTGGAAAAACTAATTGAATGAAAAGGTACTATAAAAATGTGATGTTCTGTCAAGAATAAAAATTTTCGAAGTTTTTGTTTGTTTTTGAGTTCTTTAAAAAAACTGTTTTTTTAATGGCAACCTACTATAAAACCATTTTTCTCATGAAGGTTATGATCTAAGAATTAAAATTATATACTTTATAGGTACCGTGCGATCAAATAAAAAATAAATTAGAATAGGTGTCGATTAAATTGTACAGTTGGCAACACATTGGCTGGGAATCTGGGCTGGAAATTTTTCACACAAACTGAAAGTGAAAATGACCATCAACCGTTTTCCTCTTGTACAGCAATAAAAAATTTCTGCTCTAAAGTGAACATTGTTTCACTCAAAAGGAATAAAACGCAAACTTGTCAAAATTTCCGCTGACATTTGATGTCAAAAATTAGGATTGCCATCTGAAGGACTTTAATCACCGCCTACTCTAATTTTTTTTGATCGCGCGGTATTTAATTTAAAAAAAATACATGACTGCAATTAAAAAAAATCGCAAAACTGAAAAACAAAACAAAAATTCGTTTTCAAAATACGATAACATTTACTTTAATTTATATTAATTATTTTTGTCTGAAGGCAAATGATTAAAAAAAAACTTCTTGGTTCCATACATTATATCACCCTGTACAAATAAATTTTAACAAATACTGTCCATTTATGATACTCAGTTACAATGGTTTTTTAAAGTGATAAAAGAATTTGTAAGCTTTCGCTTAGTTAGTTCTTTTAGGAATTAGGGTCGACCAAATTTGGGTCACATGGCGTGGTTGACATGTTGAGTTGTCCTGAAGATGCCCCCCTTACAAAAATGGGCGAAACGTCGACCCTATTTCCTAAAACAACGTGCTCTAACTTGAAAAGACCTTAGATTTTAATCAGTTTTCAAAGTGGTTGCGTACCTTTTTGGGCAGCAGGTAGAGGACTGTTAACATTTCTGTATATTCATTCACGTATGTTGTAACATCCCTTTCATTTCTGTGTAAAATTGATACTGCACCCTTAGCTCCCATTACAGCTATTTCAGCGGATGGCCAAGCATAATTAACATCTCCTCTCAGATGCTTAGATGACATAACATCATACGCTCCACCGTAACCCTAACAAGAATTTAATGTAGTAAAAGCATAATTTTGATAACATTGTTTTTTACAAACTTTTCTAACAATTACGGTAAGTTTGGGAACTGTGGCTTCAGCATAGGCATATAATAACTTCGCTCCGTGTCTTATAACTCCTGAATGTTCCTGATAAATTCCTGGTAGAAAGCCTGGGACATCAACTAAAGTAATAATAGGTAGATTGAATGCATCACAGAAACGCACAAATCTGGCTGCTTTTATAGATGCGTTAATATCCAAACAACCTGAAGTTGTTTATTAGAGTTGTGCTGCAATATGTAATTGGAATTTACCAGCGGCGACTTTTGGTTGATTTCCAACAAAGCCCACAGGTCTGCCGTTCATTCGCGCAAAACCAACCACAATATTTTTAGCATAATTTGACATTATTTCAAAAAATTCTCTTTCATCAACTATGCAATGGATTACGTCTAACATATCATAAGGGGCACTAGGTTCTAGTGGGATTATTGAATCGAGGGCCAATACATCTAAATCACTAAAACATTTTTTTTTTAAATTTAGGTACCACGTTGAGTAAAATTTAATACAGAGAGTCCCACGTAAGAATTTCGGGTCTAATACCTCTGTTATTTGCCAACGGATTTTTATAATAAAATTACTTGAAGTTAAAAAGTATAATTTTAACACTAATTTTCTCAAACACAATTAAAAACAAATCGAAAATAAAATTTAATCCAAATCTTCAAAATTAATGCCAAGATCACTGTCATCATTATTTTCTCCCAAATTTATAATTAAGTCATCCAAAACATTTTATAAAATCATCAGCACAACTGTCAGAATGTAAAAATCAAAAATTTAAAAATTTTCCAGCTCTGCTCGTCTTGGAGACATATTCTATTGATTGCTAAGAAAACCGAATAGGCGAGACATAAAAAGTAATCACAGCATCAGTACACCTATACAGGGCGAGTTATAATTAAGTGTAAATTTTTAGTCAGAGTTTTTTTAAGCCAAAATAAGCAATTAAGTCTAATATACCTTAGTAACAAAAGGCTCCCTTTAAAAGATACAGAAGTTGTGTTTACTCGTTTCTATCCCAAACTCGTCGGTAAGCATTTTGTTTATTCTTGCTAAGTCGGTAAGCATTTTAGATATTTAAAAAAATATTTTTTTTTAACACTCCGTATCTTTTTAAGGGAGCATTTTGTTAGTATACTTATTCGGTATATTAGGGTTCATTATTTTTAAAATTTAAAAAAATTATTCAGAATTGTAATGGCAAACTAGTAGTCCGGTCAAATTAGTCATAAAAATAGTGGTCAAATAACGAAAATTCCGACAGAGCTAAATTTTGGTGGAGACCTTGGGTATACCATTAGAAATAAAGTGGCAAAAGTCCTCATCGATCTCATGTGTGCTAAAAAAGTTATTCGGGGTCAAAAGTCAATATTTGACGTTTTTTAGATTTTCTTCGAAAACGGCAAGTTTTATCAAAAAAGTAGCTCAGACGAAAATTATAGATCTTAAAATTATCTACAAAATGGTCTTTATACTTTTTTTCCAAGAATCACCATTCCTGAGATATCGCGATTTTAAAAGTTGAAGGAGTAACGTTCTACATCATATGCACATACAGAGTGCGCCAGAACTCGCGCCCCAAAGACAAATGCCATGTAGGGTAAGGTACCAGGAACATAAAAAAAAATTAAAAACATTCTATCTATAAAAATTTCGAAGTTATGAGAGTTTACATTTTGCACTTTGACTCTTATTTATTTCTGTAGGATAAATAATTTTCCACGTTTTTTTGCTACAGGTTATTGGAAAAGGAAACAAAGAAGCTGTATCCTAAGTTGTAACTCTGTTTAATATTATTTGTAGCTTTTATTGACAAAATTTTTGTACCTTTATCAAATAATTATAAAAAATCATATACAAGGTCATCACTATTATTAAATAGACATAAAAAAATGACAAATGTCAAAAAATAAATGTCAAAATTTTTTGACAGATAGAATTTTTTAAACATTTTTTCAGTACTCTGGGGACTACCCAATTACTCCCTTTCAAGGAAATGCGCGATTTTTTGAACAACCCGTATGTATTACCAATAAATTCTTTTTAATTCTAATGGAATCGAGATATTTATAAGTTTAATGAAGTAGAAGAAAAATTTCAAGTAAAATAAGATACCAGGAACATAAAAAAAATGTTTAAAAAATTTTATCTGTCAAAAAAATTTGACATTTGTTTTTTGACATTTGACTATTTTTTATGTCTATTTAATAATACTGATGATTTTGTATATGTTTTTTTACAATTATCTAATAAAGGTACAAAAGTTTTGCCAATAAAAGCCACAAATAACATTGAACAGAGTTACAATTTAGGACACAGCTTTTTTGTTTCTTCTTTTAATGGCCTGTAGCAAAAAAACTTGGAAAATTATTTTCCCTACAGAAATAAATAGAGTCAAAGTGCAAAATTTAAACTCTCATAACTTTGAAACTTTTATAGATAGATTTTTTTTTTAATTTTTTCTATGTTTGTGGTACCTTACCCTACATGGCATTTGTCTTTGAAGCGGGAGTTCTGACGCACTCTGTATGTGCATACCATGTAGAACGTGACTCCTTCAACTTTTAGAATCGCGATATCTCAGGAATGGTGATTGTTAGAAAAAAAGTATAAGGACCATTTTGTAGATAATTTCAAGATCTATATTTTTTGTCAGGGCTACTTTTTTGATAAAACTTACCGTTTTCGAAAAAAATCTAAAAAACGTCAAATTTCGACCTTTGACCCCGAATAACTTTTTTAGCACACATGGGATCGATGGGGACTTTTGACACTTTATTCCTAATGGTGTACTCAATATCTCCACCAAAATTTAGCTCTGTCGGAATTTTAGTTATTTAAAATGTTTATTTTGACCGGACTATAGACGCAAGTAGCCTTTCGAATGTGCCTTTTCTATACAGAGTGATTTGTTTTTATGGTTACAAATTTAAACACATGATAGAATATTCAATTTTAAGACAAAAGTTTCTTATGAACATGTTTCAAAAAATGTTATGTAAGCGAGCTGCACCACCTGAAGGAGATGCGTTTTTTAATGAGACACTACTGCAGAATAGATAAAATTACAAAAGTTAGTACGGCTGATAACCTTTAAACACCAGAATGAATTCAAAAATCAGTTGTCGCACGTTTTAATCACGGGCGTCTTAAACGATAAAACTAATTTAATTTTTAATTTTTATCCTCTTTATAGTCTGTAACACATACAGAGTCAGTCACAAAAGAGTTACTTCTGAAATAATTTGGACAGCAGCCCATTATACAATTCACATAGACGTCTTGCTTCCTCATTTTTTAAATTTATAAAATTAAATCCAAGAATACTTTGCATATTTTTTCATTTTGACATTTAAAAAGTAACAGTCAATTTTCGTTAATACAATGTATTATTACACCATAGAATATACTCAATATAGAAAATCAAGTAACACACAATTTTCCGGTCGTCAAAATTTCAAGCCTGGCGCCGTCTCTTGTTTGTATGTTGAACTAAAATTGGCGGCAAATTTAAATACTTTATCATTCAATTTTAATTTTCCTATTACAATTTAAACACAAATAACCAAAATTTTCAACAAAATCAGGTATATGTGTTTAGTAATAATATTTTGGTTATGATCAAGACATAAAGAAGCACATATAATGGACTTAAATTGTTTATTTATGCATTTAACAAAATTGTACCACACGTTATGATAGCATTCTCTAAAYTTACTAAGTAAATGGATTTGATTTTTACATTTTTGACTGGTGGCTCCTGCATTCTTAAAAAATCCTGCCGTTTAAGATAATTTCCAACAAAATTTAACTGAAAGAAGATAGATTAGGACTGTAYAGTAAATGGTTATACTGSTGGGCACTACAGATTTAGATGGCGACCTGTACATTTGCTAATATATGCTCCAGTCGGTTTTTGTGAAAGAGCAGTACATCTGACGTGTGGATTTCATGCCTTTTCAAGTTGATAGAATCACACAAAACTTTAAACTATTTTGCATAGTTTCCTTTTGAGATGATCGTCTCAGGTAGTATAAACCTTAATAGCAAAAGTCCTTCTTTAGCCCAAAAAACTGTTGCGAAGACTTTATCGTGTAAATTTTTTGTTTGAACTTCTTATACTTTATTTTGGAATAAGATTATTGATCATTGTCTCATTATCAATTCCTCCAAATGTTGAGCAAAAATTTCTCGGTACATACCACCGAATTACGGTACAAAGTGTTTTAGCCTATCCGGACTAACAGAATCTCTGTTTGAACTGCGGTCAAAATCACAGCGGAGGACACATTATTAGAGAGACGTTTAGTCAAAATTTATTTGTTACCTAAAAAATGATTCTTTTCTAATTCTACAACCGTGTTTTTAGAATCAATCAATAAAAATTTCTCAGAGTCTAACCCTATATTGCAAAGCCCTTGTAATATCGTCCAAGTGTGATGACATTAGCTGTAAAAGAGCTTAATATCCCCTCTAGTTCTAGAAACAGACCACAATTCAAAAGCGAAAATTTTCCTTTCTAATTCTGTTTTTACCTGTTCAAATTTTGACGGCAGTTCAGATGTCCCCAAATTTCTGGAGTCTTATCCAGTAGTTTCAAGATTCTCTTGAGGAGCATTGCTGCTGGATATCTTTTAGGAGAGTGTTACCTATTTCTAAACTTGAAACTTGAATAATTCTACCTTAAAAGTAGATACTAATAAAAAACGAAACCAAACAAAATTTAAACACACAATGAAAAGAGCGTACCACGAACAAAGTATGTAACAAATAATTCGAACACGAAAGGGAAATATTAACTGGGAAATTATTTGAACAATACTAGTGAAAGTTGATTGAAAAGTGTTTTTTGATATTTTGCGTCAAATATCCAAAGATTGCTTTATATTCTGTATTTTTTTAAGTAAAAACAAAACATACAACCAAGAGATGGTACTAGTAGTTTCTGTTTACTACTGTTTGTGGTAATTTACAGAAATCTGTAAATAAAAGCAAGTGGCGCCGTCTCTTGGTTGTATGTTTTTCATTAACATATTTGCCTATGCCTGCTGATCAACCCTGTTATTACACAAATAACGAGAAAGTGGGCATGCTTTTAATCCATGGAGAATGCAAGAAAAATGCTCCTCCGACAGCAGCTCTGTACTTGGAGACTTGGAGAGGTATCAAAATCGAATGCATCCGGTTCCTGAAACATTTAGAAATCTGGAAGCCAAGTTACAACAAGATTGGTCCCCAATGAAAGACCCCGTCAGAGGACTGCTTCTGGCCCAGAAAATTAAATTAGAGTCCTTGAAGCAGTAGACAATTACTTGTCATTTTGACGACTTCACTCATTTTCATCCAGCTCACATTGATTACTAAATTAATTTAAATAAAATATTATACCCAGTTAGCTAAAGGTATTTTTGGTTGAAAACTAATTAATTTTCAAAGTAATTTTCCTGTGACTGACCCTGTATTGTAAACTGATTTTACTCAAAAACGGTAAGCTGTATCGAAAAAACGCAATTTTGCGATGCAGAATTTTGTGGCTGATAGTGGCAGGAACCAACAGCCAAAATAGTTAGGGTACTTTTTACCCTATAAAGATTTTCAGTTGTACCAAATTTTGTAATTTTATCTACAATGCTTTCTAAAATATTGGAAAAAATCCATTAATAGGTGCACCTCTTTCAGGGGATGTAGCTCCCTTATATAAAATTTTTCGATACATGTTGATAGGAAACTTTTATCTTAAAATTGAATATTCTATAACCTGTTTAAATATGTAACAATAAAAACGGAACAGCCTGTATAGCAACATGCGTAACAACGTCTGTTAAATTTTAACGGCCTAGGTTGTTATCGTTGCCATAACAAGCATGGAGACAGTATGGATATGATCAAATAACAATCAAGTATCACGAAAAAAAAATATTTAATTATGACTCACCCTTATACTTTTTCTAGAGCATAAATTTTTCATTTAACGACTGGAGAACTGGTTATTGTAGGTAAGCCATTTTCTGTTGCTTTTCTATAAAAAAGAATAATACTAACCAAGGATCATCACAAATCCTAATAGGTGCAGGATGATTACATGACTGTGGTAAATAACCCAAAAAATGTCTTAACTGTAGGAGAGCGTCAATATCATTTTTAAATGATCTATGTGCATTTCCCGATATTGTGGTATGTGTTCTAGCACCACCTAATTCCTCCCTAGTGATATCTTCATTATTAACTGACTAGAAATGCTCGTGAAAGTATATAAAACAATGGATTAATTCAATTTTACTTTGATGACATCAGGCCCTGTAACAAAAAGAAACGATGTATCTTCTATCATAAATACAAAATCTGTAAGTGCAGGTGAGTAAACAGCTCCTCCTGCGCAGGGACCCATAATTAGTGATATCTAAAACCGTAAATAATTAAGTACCTATCCGAAAACTATTACATAAACTTTTCAATTTTTTATAGGAGTTAAACGTATCTAGGTTGGAGTAGAAGTTAATTTCTTCATTAATTTATATTAATTAACCTGGGGAACAACTCCAGAAGCCAAAACATTTCTCTGAAATATATCAGCATATCCAACTAATGATTCCACGCCCTCTTGTATACGGGCGCCACCGCAGTCATTTAGTCCAATAATAGGAGCACCGTTGATTATCGCTTTATCCATCATTTTACAAATTTTTTTCGCATGAACACTCGAAAGACTTCCACCAAAAACTGTAAAGTCTTGACTAAATACGTACACTGGCCGTCCATTAACCAAACCGTGACCTGTAACTACAGAATCACCTGGAAACTATGTTAATTAATGTCTACCACTGCTACATTTTTGCCTAGTTATGTTACTTTTTGTTTATCCATTCCAAAATTTGTACAAGTGTGTTCTACAAACAAATCGTATTCTACAAAACTGTTATCATCAAGAAATATATCAAGGCGCTCGCGTGCTGTTAGTTTTCCCTAAAATGTTTAAAACTTAATTAATTTAATTTATCTCATGTGTCTAATAGCTGAAAACTAAAATTTGTTCCTTCATTATTTAGTGTTCTGTGTGCTTAAATTTAGGGCTCTTCTAATAGAGCTACTATCGCATTCATAAAAAACTAGTACAGCAAAATTTTATTGGTGTAAATTGGGTTACATAGAAATGTCAAATATAAACTTACCTGGTTTTTTATTAGATTAGATTCGATAGTTACTAAGGTAGCGCTGATCTGATTGGTGTTTCTATAGCAATTATGGAACCGATAAAATTTAATAACGATAAATCGTTTCAGAAACCGACCCTATAACAATTTAAATTTGAATTATCACCGCGTCAAGTTTCGATGTAGCATTTAATTTATAATGCCTCAGGTAACTTTTCAAAAAGCGATTATAAATGCTCGTTTACATGATGGAGCAAGCATAATAGCAATTGCCACTGAAATTGGTGTAAATAGAAGTACAGTTTTGCTCGCCAAGAAAAAAAAATCTGGTGTGAACATCACACAACTTTCCTTATCTTACTTATTTGGAAAACATCCTTACGACAATAATTTAGTATTGGAAATCCGAGTAGCAAACCTAACGTTTGCGTTAGTGCCACCTGCCGGATTACACGCGAAATAGTTGTCGCGGGTTCGAGTCTGGGGTGCAATTTTTTAGTTTGGTACCCATTATTATTTTTATTTTATCACATTTTCTTGTTTAATAAGGTAGATTTCATGATTGTACATATTTTTTATACCCATGAACCCCTTCATACAAGTAACTTACATACTAAATTACGAGTTTCTAGCTCTTATCGTTCTCGAAATATGCTGTTTAAAGACACACAGAGACACAAACACGACCCAATGGCCCAAACCAACTCTTTTGGTGTCTTGAACCTATAATTCGTCCAGAAATGTAAAAATATAGGTAGGTCAAATTTCAGCCGATTACAATACTTTCCCTATAGGATAAGGAAAGTAATAGAGCAAACGGAACGATCAGTAGACGAAAGGGATCAGGTCGAAGGAAAATTTCAACTGCTAATCAAGACAATGAACTAATTGGTTTTCTCACAATTAATCCATTTGAGACAGTGGTTAGGACTGTACAGGATTCAGAATTTCCAGGATCCTACGTTACAGCTCAACGTAGAGTTCGCGAATCTGTGATAAGAAATCGTTATGCTGCTAACAAAATTTGGTTTGCTCTAGAATATGTAACGCGTCCAGATGACTTCTGGGAGAACGAGAATTTACGAGACAATTGGTGTCATCAATGCCCAAAAGATTGTTAAAAGTAATTGAAGTAAATGGGGAAATGACAAAATATTAACTGATTTTTTTTTTCTTTTCAATAAAATTTATTCGTTAATATTTTGTAGTTTTATACTTTTAAGTTTTTAAAACAATGTTCTTAAGTATGTTTTAAAAAAGACGCTAAATTCCAAATATTAGGTAGACCAACCACCACAGACGTAAATAGGTTAACATAAAGTACATAGAAACGTTACACTACAAAATTTTTGAAAAGTTGACATAAGTATGATGTTTTGCTGTACTAGTTTTTTATAAATTCGATAGTACACTTGAGTGCCAAAAAAACGCAAATCGGTTTTTTTATAATGTAATTTGGCCTGTTAATAAATGCCAGTTTTTTGACGTTGTCTTTGTCACAATTCACAATTTCAAAATTGTCAGGCATCTTTCAAATTTCTATCAAATTTTTCCATTTCGTTTTTAACACTGACTATGACACTGCACTGGCAAGACCACCAAATAGGACATTTCTTTTGATAGTTTTTTAACCTTTTTAGGAACAACCTTTTTTACACTATGTAAATCTCTGAAAAATTTGACAATTCTATTTTTGACAATTTGCATTCAAGTGTAAGTACGAATAATAGCTGTCACAGGACACTGGGTAGTGAAAATGAATATTGAGTGGGAACTTGAAAAACTAGCATTAGGTTTAGTATACAGGATGAATCAAAAGTAACGCACAATTTTTCAAAAAAAATTTTAAACAGGCCGATTTTATGTATTGTAACATTTATGACGTCAGTGGATTTTGAGTAATTAATTATTTTTTTTAAATAGCAACCAACAATTTTGTTGACCGTTTTTGGTAATTTTTCTATATTTTTAAAAAAATACAGGGCGATTCAGATAAGATAATGAGCCTGACGATCTGGCGATGCAACCCAAAAAACAAATTTCATTTACGCCTTAGATCCAATTTAAATTAGGATTTGCACACTAAATCCAAGTTATCATCTTATGTCAGTCTGACATCAGTGCAGAGAACGATCATTGGGCCATTCAGTTCTCACGGAATGATAGAGAAATTAGAGAAGTCTTTTTGGTGTAAACCCAATAAAAATGTATGAACGAATGAAACATTAAAGGTAGGCATAAATCATAAATTGCTTGTCAAAGCACTGTCATAGCAATATGAGATAACTTGGATTGCAAATGCAAATCGTAATTAAAATTAGATCAAGACGTAAATGAAATTTGTTTTTTGGGTTGCATCGCCAGATCGTCAGGCTCTAAATCACCATGTATATTACCAAAAACAGTAAACAAAAATGTTGATTGTCATAACAACGTTACTTAAAAAAAATTACGTTATAAATAATGGTATAATGAAAATGTATCATTTACAAAAATTAAATCGACCTGTTAGAGGATTTTTTTTAAATAATGATCATAAAATTAAGAATTTTATGCGCTCCTTTTGATTCATTCTGTACAGGTGTTCCGTTTTTATTGCTACAAATTTAAGTATAATCAGTTTACAATATGTGTTACAGACCATAAAGAAGATAAAAAATTAAAAATTAAATTTGTTTAACCGTTTAAGACGTCCGTGATTAAACCTTTTGACAACTGATCTTTGAATTCGTTCAGGTGTTTAAATGTTATCAGCTGTACCAACGTTTGTACTTTTCTGTAGTGATGGGAAAACCCCATTAAAAAACGCATCTCTTTCAGGGGGTGTAGCTCGCTTACATAACATTTTTTGATACATGTTCATAGGAAACTTTTGTCTTAAAATTGAATATTCTATCACCTGTTTAAATTTGTAATAATAAAAACGGAACATTCTGTATTCAAGAAACGCAATGGAGTTTGAATAGTGCAAAAACCACTTGTTTTTATACACTGTGTCAATTTTAAAACTTGCAATCGGCAATATCGAGTAACTGAAAAAGTTATTGAGAATCACTCAGAACCGTTTTGGTGGTTCCTAGGGGGAGCCTAAATGAAATGGTTAGTGACGCATCTCCACCCTCCCTTGAAATAACAAAAAAAAATGAAAATTTAGAGTCTTTGTTTCTGAAGAATTGGAAAAACGGCTTTACTAAATAGGGCCTTGTATGACATTTTTGAAAAGCACTTGTTATGAACTTTTCAACGATGTATCACAAGTAGGGTAGTGCCATTTAAGATTTTCAACTTAAGGTGGCTGCGGCTTCAAGGGTGGGGGAGGTGCGTCACTTACCATGTCATTTTGATACCCCCTAGACCACCGAAACGGTTTTGAGTGATTCTAGATAACTTTCAGTTCTAGAGATATCGTCGATTGCAAGTTTTAAAATTGACACTCTGTATACCTTCGAAGAACCTAAATATCTTTAGATCACTGAAAATTGGACACATGAAAAAATGGTTGAAAATCAAGCATAATAATCCACAATAAATTAGTATTTCAGAACCAATGTGGTTTTGGTACTAATTAAAAAATGGTTAAAATCATCAAAAATGTCCCAAATAACATTAAAATCCCTCATTTCTTGAAAACCTCAAAATTCTTTTTCATTTCTAGGCCAAATGAATCAATTAAATATAATGAAGAATCGATAAAAGATGAAAGTAAAATTTCCAAACTAATATGTTTGAGTTAATAAAAAAAGTGAAAACTGTATTTGAAAACAAAAACAAAGATTCCACTCAAAGTAAGATTATAATATAATCTGTAACTACTGACCTTTTTATGCTGTTCATCAATTTTGTTTAGTCCACCACCTAAAAGAGCTTGATTCTTGATT